CTAACCACCTTGTTGGCGGCTCTTTGCATAAAGCAGTATACTGTAGCATTTATACAGTGAATTATCATAGCGTTATTCACTGTTGAATTATTACTGTAGCACAGACAGCTGTTGTAGCATTTAAAAACATTGTTATAGCATTATTACTGTAGCTCAAGCAGTATAATGTAACATTTAAAAATATTATTGTAACACTTACAAAAACTATATTTAAATACGGAATTACTGTAACGGAAATAAAAAATAGAGGGGGTGCACACTAGTATTGTATGGTTGTATTGTATGCGAGAATCCTGTCATATATTATGTGAGCTACATTTGTAGTTTAAGCAGGCAAATATTCAAATAAGCCAGCTATACTCAGCATAAAACTTCCTTGATAATGAAGAAAAACAAATGTTTCGGGCGCTTCGGCTTGTAAAACGAATGGAACTTCAACAAAATTACATGCTGTTGCAGCCTTCAGAAAAAGGATCAGAATAGTTTTTCGGTTTCCACATAGCAGTTGAATAATGAATACTTGGCAATAATTCCTGGTCCTTAAAAATGCACACCTATGTTTATAAATTATTTCGAACGGTTCAGAAGAAGAACCTTCGTACTCTCTTTTAGAATACAAGAAGTTCTGTCACAAATTCTTGCCGACAACAAAACATTTACATTGCAATGAAACACTCTCAAACAATACAACAGACGTAATAAAGGATCGCACAAAGGATCACGTTAAATCTGATGTTTGCTGCAACATTTTAAGCTGAACCGAACTCTCGGAACCACTTCTCATGGCGTTGGATATCTGCAGTCGAAACACTTCTCTGGACTTTCTTCAGAGCTTCTTCGAAATCGCACATTGCAACAGGATCCTTGGAGATATCATCCTTAGCCATGCTCTTTATCTCATCCCTCGTCTTTCCTGCAATTTTGCGTCTCATTCCGTTCAATGAAGCATCACGACACACGTTTGTGAGATCGTCTCCACTGTAACCCTCTGTCCTCCGAGCCACATCATCGATATTTACATCTTGAGCCACCTGAAACATGTTATCAAAATGAGATAATGGAGAAATAACATGGTGAGAAACCTCCCTAAACTTCACGAATCAGAGGATAGCTCCCCGAACAACTGGAAACTGTCACAAACAGCGTTAACGTGATATTAAAAGGCCAAAACAACCCTTGTTGCTCTCCACCTGACCTGATGAGGAAAGAGGGTAGCATAGCAGATATATCAAGTACATTGGGACAAAGTTGTCCACTACATATTACATGCAAGCACGTGACAATTTAGACTAATTGTCGTTAGTCATGGTATCTTAGTCAAACAAGCTCAGGGCGGCTTTCTCTAATTTATAAAGGCTGGGGAGGGTTTGTGCAGAACATCGAATTAATACATGGTGCTCTTTTTTATACAGCCACCTATTCAGAAAGTAAACTATTTGTTTACCTCTCTTGAATTAGTCTGATGAGCCAACAAACTATGTGGACAGCCAAAACACAACAAGAGGAAGATGTTCAAAATTCAATGATTATTATTG